GCAATACTCTTATATTTAAGCATACATGCAACGTTTTTTTTTTACAGACTTCCCATTTGTATTTATTTTTAACGTGTTGCATTACGATGTTGACCCATTGATAGAGGAGCATAAACAAATGCAAACCGGTTTCACCCGAGTAAAAAATAATACAGTTGTATAGTATCACCTGATAATTATAATTTTACATAAAATCTTATGGTGCGTCTAGTAATATGGCACTGAATGGCTCAAGGCACCCATATGAGGGAGGGATACGCACCAAATTCGAACGATATTTGTGGTTCCAAAATTTCAAACAATTTAATGAATGACTACTTTTGAATCTTTTTAATACAGTAGTTAAATTCTTTCCTTCTTCAGTTGGACATTATAGCATGTCAATCCGGACTTCCTCACGAATGAAATTTCTTTGACAGGAACTGATTTCAGAACAAAAATTCCATTCATTTCATTTTTTTTTTTTGAGCTGATGAAATGTCCAAAGTGAAAAATTCACAAATCTTCTTGTCAATAAGCAGGGCTTAAATTCATATATATATATCTATAGACACTATATATATATATATATATTTCGTTGCATAGAAATAAAGATTATATGTTTTTGGAAAAATTCAATTAAATTTGAAGACACATGCTAAAATTTGGGAACATTTTCTGCCCTCAAAGAATTTCAAAATTTTGAGAACAATTAATGATATTTCAGGACTGCCCACCCGATTTGAGAACGCCTGATCACCTTATTGCATAGACACGGTTCCCAGCAGACCACCGAAGTCAAGCATCACTGGCTGAAATCAGTGAGCAGCTGGATGACCACTTTGATCAGGCTGCGAGAGGACCGAGGGTGAGCGACATCGGTTCTCGTTATACTGTTCTACCATAAAAGGCTTGACTTCACACGCCGATCGTCAGGCTATCAAAGCATCGCTAATAGCCCATTATGCATCTCAAGTGCGACGTAAATATAGACTACTGTAGTCGAGTAAAGCACGAGGTTCCCTTCCTTTCACCAAGTCTTTTCACCAATCCTGTCCTTTCATCATTCACAATTTTTTTTTATTTTATTTAATTTTAAGTATGGCATCCGGGGATAGCTGATTGCGCTAATGTTTCTCTAAAACCTGGTGGACTGCGCTGCCAACATTTTTACCCCCCCCCCTCCTGAAAAGGGTTGGTGTACTGCCGTCTGCCGTTCAAAGCAACCCTTGTGACCTTCATTCATGCAGCGAAACATTTTCTGATAAAATCATGGTCTCGCCAATAATAATCGCCTGAAGCAAGCACGCAGTGTGTGTGTGGGGGGGGGGGATATTAGTACTACTCAATTTTTTCGGTTAATTATGCAATTTTCATTTAATAGTAATTTTTTATGTGTTGCAATTTTTTTTCACTTCTGTTATTTTAAATTTCAAACTGTATTTAAACAATGAAAAAAAATGCGAAAGGGCGTTTGAAGTTTTGAAAATCAGTCTTGTAATTAGAATAATGCAATTTTTTCGAAAATATTGATTAAAAAGTTAAAAATGAGAAGAAAAAATTAAATTTAAAAAAAAAATTTAAAATTCATTTCCTGTTGTCGCTTTAAGCTGGTTAAAAAGTATAAGTTCTGGGTGCAATACTAAATTTTAATTAAATTGCAGAAACCTTACTGTAAAGAGGATACATTTTAGTGAATTTTAAATCAATTTTAACCAATCTATATTAACCCAACTTCTGCATATTATTTACAAAAAAAAATAAGCATGGAAAATGTTTAAATTTTTCCGCTCATCTACTAAAAAGTTTAACATTAGTAAGAAGCCGCGGTTGGCAAAAATCATGATTTCTTTCTAATCACAAAATCGTACATATTTGATTTAAATCGGATTTTTTTTCTTCATTTAAATTAGATTTTTGGATTTCTTTTTCTTTTTTTAATTTACCATCTAAAGCATCTGAGAAAAGATTTTAATAAGACTTAATATTGTTTAAGAATAATATCTATTATATCTATTATTTCTTACTAAAATGGATTAAATTATTATAATATTATTACATACTAATCACTGAGTTAAGAAAAATCATAGTTATATTTTTCAAGCTCAACTTCCTGATGATTGTTAAAAATTGGGAGAAAATTTGTCATCTAGATACCTAATGAAGAGTAAGTTAGTTTAGATATGAAAACATAATAGAAAATAAAAATGTTACTTTGGATTGAACAAGTCTTGATAAACACTAACTACATACTTAATAAAATATGAAAAGCACTGTGTTTTAATTAGCAAAAAACTAAATGGGTATAATTGATATGTGTTTTTAGCCAAAAAAATATTTTAAATGTATATAATGGAAAATTACAATTTAAAAGTTTCATATCACTCTTATTCACATTTACTCTATTTTGAAACATAATAATTTACATGCATATCCCTTTCGATATTTTTTAGTAAAGAATTCAATAAAGTAAACAATTCAATTGTCAATAAAATAAGATTTAAAAAAATCACCCCCTAAGGAATGTATTTATTAATTTTATTGAAGAAAAATATTTTATGTTTAAATTATACTTTTTTCAAACAATATTTTTTTTGTTTATTGATTTTTTACAAAAAAAATCACTATTTATTTGAATCAATACATTTTTTAATGAAATAATGAAAGGGTAATTATAGTAATTTCAATGAATATGCCTTTTATTATTTCGTAGTAAAAAATAGCTCCATTAAAAAACAATGAAATCAGTCTTTTAAAAATATCACACTTTTAAAAATGTATTTATTAATTGTATTATATGAAAATATTTTTAACCCGCAATAGTATTTTTTTTACTAAGTATTTTCATATTTTTTTCCAATGCCCACCTGGAGAATGACCTAGGTCATACAGGCATCTAAAGGGCAGATTTGTTGACCACTCTTTCAGGGGCACCATATTAGGTGGGCCAACGTTGCTCCCACAGTAAGGACAGATAGTACAGAGAATGAAAGAGCATCCATGCCTTTCCCGGGATTCAAACCCGGAGCCTTTCTGAAGTAAGGTCAGTTCCCTGACCCCTACATAGGCCGGTCGGCAGTATTTTCATATTAAAAGTTATGAAAATTATGTTAGTTTAAGTTAATGTTTTTTAAGAAAAATCACAACTGATTTAAATCAGTAATTTCTTTCGAAAATCAAATGATTTACATAATGATTATATTCGAAATGCACTTATATTCCAGGTGTAAATCTAATCCTGATTGCAATATATGAAATTTAATCCCGGCATAACGATATTTAGGGTGGTCCTGAACTCATGGTACAAACTTTAAAGGTAGGTACAGGACATAGTAACAAACGCAAACATAAAAAAATAAGGGACTAAAGGAAAGACCAAGTGTTTATTGAAAGCTTCGTTGACAAGTGTAATGTTTACAACGACTGTTAAAACTGCTCCCACCAGTAGCGATACATGCTTGACAGCGTCGTTGGAACGATTGCCTCACACATTCAAAGATGCCTGGTATTTCACGCACCCGTGCAGCAGTTTCGGGTATTCGAGTAAAGAGATCCTCATCTGAGTCAAGTGGAGTTGCATTAACGAAATTCTACAGATTCTACAGAAAACAAGCTAGGCTCGATAAATCGGGAGAGCAAAGGGGCTAGTCCACCACACCCCGTGCCATTCAGA